ACATAATTAATATAATAAATTGTTCTCTATTGTAAAATTTGTATCCTTTTTGCTATCGATAATTACTTTAATGCTTATGACCCAGTAGCTAAATTGGCAACAAAAGTATAAAGTCTCTCCCTTGGTCATAACATTATGTAACTTATAACCCAAACATGTAATAGCATCTCAGAAACTTGATTCTAATTTTTTCTTGATGGTATTCATATTGAAATAGAAGTTTATTCAACTACTTGTCTTGATTTACATACCCCTATTAATATGGTATACCCCTCCTAGTAAGGTACTTTGGATACAAAATCGAGTAATGAAAATACCCGGGGTACCTACGTCCGTATTTTACGATATATAGAGTTTAAATTGAAATTTTGAGATTAGACCATGTAAAATTAATTAATTGGTTTTTATAACCTAGCCGAGTCAAAATTTGAAAACTTCTAAAAAAAAATTTTCATATGTTTTAATAACCAGGTAGGTTTTAAAAAAATTTTTTATATAAATTTTATAAAATTTTATATATGAAGTTTAAAAAAAAAAGCCAGCTGGTCAAGTCTGTTTTTAAATTTGATATTATGAAAACCAAGTAATTAAATTTGTATAGCATTATATATAAGGTTAAAAAATTTAAAGCAAATTTTTTGCGAAAGTAGTACAATCTATAGAGTGATACTACATATTTTTGATATCAAAACTACTATGTATAAAAATTCTTCTTGAAGAAGTTTACTTTGTATAAATATAGCATTTCCTGATATTTCCTATATAGATTACTTTCAATATAACTCTATACTTATACAAAACTCTAAACTTTCTCTCATGATTTTAACAAGCAAGCATATATTTTTATGTTTGAAATCTATTATTTTTAAGTTTTTTTTATCTTTACCAATACTAGGATATTAAGTTTTTTTTTTTTTTTAATAAAATAGGTCTAAGGTATCCAAGATTAAATTTTGGGCTTTTTGGCTTAAAAATTATATAAATTGGGTAACCATATAACAGTGACCCCTACTCAGATCTCTACTCAGATCCAACTTATTATATAAAGAAACTTATATAAGTGGTAAAGATTCTTTGTATGCAATTTTTTTTACTTGTAATGCTATAACAATTTCTATTTAAGAGCACCTTCAGGTATAAAATACAAACTTTCCTGAATTTTAAAATTTACAAAAATAAAAACTTTTCTTATAATTTAAATTTGATAAAAAAATTTTATAGTCAAAAAAAAAGTATTTAGATAATTCACTAAAGGTAAAAATTTATTATTTTTAATATTACAAATTTGTAGAATATTATATGTGAATATTATCTTTTGCTAATTCAAGCTCGTGTTCTATTGCTTTTTGCTTAAACGTACAAGTATATGAACTTAGCCAATTATCTATTATGAAAATTTTTAGAATATCTTCCTTATCTATTTCACCATCTTCAGCAAATTTCATGAGCTTTTTGTATATAGTTTGTACATTTATTCTATCCTTATTTTTTCAATTTCTGTTTAAAAAAAAACATACTAATATAGCTTTTACATTTTTTTATTTTGATTCATACTAATATCTTTTTTTTTTTTTTTTCGATGTTAAGGTGATCTCTATGGCTAGGAGCTTTTTATTAGATAATTAACAACATTTACAATTATGATGAGGATACAACTAGCCACACATACAACTTTTTGGTTGTCTATTTAAGTAGTCTACCTG